AGGGGGAGGAGGAGGGGGAGGGGGAGGGGGAGGAGGGAGGAGTTTTAATTAAGAAGCATATGCTTGTGTTTTAATTTTGTAAAATTTAACTATTAGTCTACATTGTGCCTTTTAACATGGGATGGCTGTGCAATTTATTCTGAAGTAGAGAATACAGTCACCATAAATAGCTAGCTTGTTTTGTACCTTACATACTCATCAAGTTTTTCTCATGAAATAGTTTCTCATAAATGACAACTAATGTAAAAGTATAATGTTCAATAACTCCCTCAGATGAGCCAACATCACTCAAGCTTCTACATCTATTTCATACACTGGACTGTAATCATTAAGTATTTTACCCGCTTACAGATTTTACGAAGGATTGCAAGGTTGTGGGCAGCCTAAACTACACAATGAGAAGCTATCACAAAAAGAACAAGGAAAATAAAGGCAGAGACTCAATGAAACATAGGTTGCATGGTTTCCCACATTTGTTGTAACTAGAATGTGCCTATAAACCTACAAGTAAACACACTGGATGGTAAAAGGAAAAAAAATACACTGGAACATGATCGATTATACAGGTCTCTAAGCATGTACACACAGTGAGATCAAAGGAGGAAATTCTTAGGAAAGGATCACAAAGGCATAATACCTATGTGCATCTATTCATATAAAGTAATATTTCGAGCTGGGAATGTGGCTTAGCAGTAGAGCGCTTGTCTAGCTTGCATGAAGCCCTGGGTTTGATTCCTCAGTACCAAATAAACAGAAAAAGCTGGAAGTGGCACTGTGGCTCAAGTGATAGAGTGCTAGCCTTGAGCAAAAAGAAGCTCAGACCCTGGAGTTCAAGCCCAGCACAGGCAACAACAACAACAACAACAAAATAGAATAATGTTTATCAAAATGTACTCCAAGAAATGGAACAACAACAACAACAAAATAGAAAAATGTTTATCAAAATGTACTCCAAGAAATGGAACAACAACAACAACAAAATAGAATAATGTTTATCAAAATGTACTCCAAGAAATGGAAATGGGGTTATTTTTTGTTGTTGCTGCTGCTGCTTTTTCTTTTCCTTTTGTCCTGCTTGTTCATTTATCTGTCTTTCAAAGGGTAAGTGGGGGGCACAGAAAGGGTGAACAAATGCGGCCATGATACTCGCCAGACATGTTGAAAATGAACACTACAACTCGTGAGTGGGGACTGGAGGGAAAAAGTGGGAGAGAGGGAAGGAAGGGTGACATTGTCCAAAAAGAAATGTACTCATGTAACTGTAACTGACTTACGTAACTGTAAGCCTTCTGCCTTCTGTACTTCATCTTTGTTAACAATAAAATTAAAAAACAGAACAATATTTAAAAAATTAAGGAGGTATGAAGGAAAATAGGGAGGAAGGGAAGACAGGAAGGAGGGGAGGAAAGAGAAAAGGAGGGAAGAAAATTTAGGGAGACTAACTACCTTGCCCAAGGCACATACCCAGTAGCAGTCATTGGTGGTATTTGAACAGAGATCCACCAAATTCAAAATGCCCATGAAATCACTATATATTATCCTTAAATATGCAAATGTGTGCTCTACTTAGAAATATATAAGGCTTTGAAAATAATCTGCTCACCTATACAGCTTTAAAATACCATTATTTAGGGGCTGGGAATGTGCCTTAGTGGCAGAGAGCTTGCCTAGCATGCATGAAGCCCTGGGTTCAATTTCTCGGAACCATATAAACAGAAAAAGCCAGAAGTAGTGCTGTGGCTCAAGTGGTAGAGTGCTAGCCTTGAGCCAAAGAAGCTCAGGGACAGTGCCCAGGCCCTGAGTACAAGCCCCAGGACTGGCAAAAGAAAAAAAATCAACTTTACTTCAACTGTCTCACACACACACACACACACACACACACACACACACACACACACACACAAAACTTGTTACATTCTCCAACATGGTTGTTATTGTTTGTTTTATTTCATTTGTAGATATAATGGGAGTGAGAAGTTCAGAGACAGGGAAAGAGAGACAGAGGGAGAGAGAGAGAGAGAAAGAGAAAGAGAAAGAGAGAAAGTAGAGCCTTAAAAACATGATCTAAGCTCTTGTTCTTCATAGTAAAATGAATCCGACACTTTAAAAGAAGATTTGAGCACTGACAAAAATAGATTTTAGATATTAAACAAACATAAAAAATGTAAAAGAATTAGTATTATACAGACAAGTGCAATGTGATTGTTACTGATTGTTAATAAAAGCCAGACACCAGTGGTTCATGCCTGTAATCAATCCTAGCTATTCAGCAGGCTGAGATGTGAGGATTATGATTCAAAGCCAGACCAGGCAGAAAAGTCCTTGTGAGTCTCTTATCTCCAATTAACCACTCAAAACTTAGAAATGGAGCTGTGGCTCAAAGTCATAGAGTGCTACTCTGAGCAAAAATGCTCAGGGGCAGTGAGTGCCCAGGCCCTGAGCCTGACAAAAAGGAAGAAAGAAAAAGAAAAGAGAATATAATAAATAATTCTTAAATATTTCCTTTAATGTATACACACATACCTCATTTTAAAATGAAGTCATTCTGGGGTGGAGGCATGGTTCAGGATACAGTGGCTGCTTAGCAAGTGCTAGGTCCTGAGTTCAAATCCCAATACACACACACACACACACACACACACACACACACACACACACAAAAGAAATTACTGCCAAGCATGGTAGGCCATGATTATAATCCAAGCTACTAGAAAGGGGAGGGTAGGATGATCATGGTCTCGGGCCAGTTCCCAGACAAAAAGATGCCTATCATAGTCTATTCCTGTTACTATCACAAAAATCACAACATAAAATAGTTCGGGAGGCTAAACCTAAGACGAAGGAGCTGGCAGGGGGCAATCTGATGAAAGCTTCCAAACTGGTAGCTTCTTCTTGTGTCTTCAAATGGCAAAAGATAATAAAGGCAAAAGGGAGAGAATGCTGTGTGCTTACATGGAGATGAGCCTGCAAGACAGGAAGGCAGCCTCTCCAGCAGCTGTTCATAAAACACCCATCGGCTCTCAAGAACAGAGTACCACCATTCCCATAAAATCCTACTTCTTTTCTTTTTTTGATCCAAAGTCTTGCATGTAGCCAAGGTTGGCCTTGAACTTAAGACCTTCCTTCTCCTCTTGTCTCAATCTCCCAAGTTCTGGGACTACAGGTATGACCCATCCTGCCTGGTGTCTATAAGTAGTACAGTAAGCCTTGAACTCAAGATCCTCCTGCTCTTGCCTCATCCTCCCAAGTGCTGGAATTACAGATGTCAATCACTATGCCTGACTTATTACCACACTGGGCATTAGGCTCCAATACTTGGATTTTAAAGGTACCCATACATTCAAACAGAACCCATCATGAGCCAGGGTTGGGCTAGAGGAACACAAGCAGACAAATACTTGTTTGAGCAAAAATATACAGCAAAAAAATCTTTCATTCTAATTAAAATTTGTATTTTTGTTTGTTTGTTATGTTTTTAATTGTAAAAATAGTGTACAGAGGGGTTGCAGTAACGTGAATAAGGTAATGAGTACATTTCTATCAAGAACCGTTACCTCCTCCTTTGTTTTTCCCTACCATCCCTTCCCATCCCCACCTCCCCAACTCCTTCCTTCCCCCCTCCTTCCAAGTTGTAAAGTTCATTTTCAACATAGTGTCTTGTACATCTCATTGTTACAATGGGTCAACCTGTATCTTTATTTCATCATTTTGTTATTTCCTTTTCCCTCCCCAAATCAGAAAATTGTATATACAAGATGCAGGGCACTGACATCAAATACAGTGAAAACAGGGGTTATATCATGGGGGAAGAACATACTAAAGAAACAAACAAAAAAATCACATAATACATTTTGAATACATTAAAAACAATAGCAAGAAAGAAAAAAACAGTTGGGTCCATATCTTGGGGTTCATTTCGCTTAACATCATCTTATATGTTCATATGTACATAGCTTTTGACCTTTTCTGGTCATCCTAGACTAATACTAGTTATTGCAAATAAGGGAAACCATGGGACCAATGTTTCTTTGAGTCTGGCTTATTTAATATAATTTTTTCCAAGTCTTTCCATTTTCTAACAAATGGGGTGATGTCATTCTTTTTGATGGAGGCATAGAATTCCATTATATATATATATATATATATATATATATATATATATATCACATTTTCTTGATCTATTCATATATTGAGGGGCGTCTGGGTTGGCTCCCTATCTTAGCTATGGTAAATAATGCTGCAATAAACATAGTCATGCTGGTAGTTTGGCCTTGTTTGTGATCGGTTGGGTAAATGACCGAAAGTGGGATTGCTGGGTCATAGGGGAGTTCTATGTGGAGTCTTTTGAGGAACCTCCATACTACTTTCCAAAGTGGTTGAACAAGTTTACACTCCCATCAACAATGCAGTAAGGTTCCCTTTTGGCCACTTCCCCTCCAACATCTGTTATTACATTTCTTGATGATAGCCATTCTAACTGGGGTGAGGTAGAATATCAATATTGTTTTTATTTGCATTTCTTTTATGGATAGAGAAGTTGAGACTTTCTTCATATGTCTATTGGCCATTCTTCTTTCCTCTTCAGAGAAGTTTCTCTTTAAGTCTTTAGCCCGCTTATTGACAGGGTGGTTGTTTCTTTGAGGATTTGTTATTGGGGGATTTAGTTTTTTGAGTTCTAAGTATATTTTAGATATGAGACCCTTGTCCATTATATGGCTAGTGAAGATCTTCTCCCAATCCGTGGGCTTTCTTCTATTGATCTTGCTAGCTCTGCCATTTCATACAATTCCATTTGTCCAACCTTTCTTTGATTTGTTGTGCTTCTGGGTCTTTATTAAGAAAATTTCTGGGGTTGGGAAGGTAGCTTAGTGGTAGAGTGCTTGCCTTGCATGCATGAGGCCCTGGGTTTGATTCCTCAGCACCACATAAACAAAAAGAAAAAAGCCAGAAGTGGTGCTGTGGCTCAAGTGGTAGAGCGCTAGCCTTGAGCTGAAGAGCTGAGGGCCAGTGCCCAGGCCCAGAGTTCAGGCCCCACGACCGGACCCCCCCCCCAAAAAAAAAGAAAAGAAAATTTCTGCCTGTGCCAAGGAACCCTAGAGTTTCTCCTATTGCTTCCTATAATGTTTTCAGGGTATCTGCTTTGACTTCGAGGTCTTTGATCCATTTGGAGTTGATTCTGGTGCAGGGTGATATACAAGGATCTAGCTTTAGTTTTCTACAAGTGTTTAAGCAATTTTGCCAGCACCATTTACTGAAGAGGCTGTCTCTCTTCCACTCTATTTTTTTAGGTCCCTTATCAAAGATTAGGTGGCTATAGGTCTGTGGGTTCAAGATTTGTATTTTTATTTGTATTTTGTTGATTAGGAAGTTACCAATGGCATATGGAAATCCAAAGAAAATAAATAACCAAGCAAAAGTTAATGGACAGTGAACCTTATGAGCTCCCATAGACTGAACTTACAAAGCTACTCTCAAGTCAGTTCTGATTTATACCAACATTGTCAATAGAGGCAGAATAATTTCAGTTTTTGTTATATCTTTTTTTTTAGTTTTTGTTATATCTTTGAAATGATGCATGCATCATTTCAAAAAAACACCAAGAGAACGAGGGAAGGGGTGACATTGTCCAAAAAGAAATGTACTCTTTACCTGATTTATATAATTGTAACCCCTTCTCTGTAAATTACCTTTAAAATAACAAAGATTTTTTAAAATGCCTATAAGTTTACAATAAAAATAAATAAGGCTGAAAATCTTAAAGTGGTAAGGAAATTATTGGTATACACAGGTAAAGTATGAATCATTTGCTATTCAGGAAGACCAATAGGAAAGAACATAACATATAGCAGGTGTGTTTCAGCTGGAGGTGATTTTGCTACCCTATTTCATTTGGCAATGTTTGAAGATATTTTTATTTTTCACAACTAGAGGGTGTGAACAGCTTCTAGTAGGTAATGATCAATTCATATAATGCACAAGACAGGACAAACAACAAGACAGGACACAACAAAGAATTATATGGTTCAAAATGTTAATACTGTTGGAGGAGGAGGAGGAAGAAGAGGAGGTGGAGGAAGGAGACAGAGAAGGAGAAGGAGAAGGAGAAAGAGAAGGAGAAGAAGGAAAAGAAAATTGAGTCATGCTCCAGTGACTCATGCCTGTAAATCCTAGCTACTAAGGAGGTTGAGATCTGAGGATCAAAGCCAGCCCAGGCAGGAAAATCAGTTAGACTCCTATCTGCAATTAATCACCAGACAACCAGAAGTGGTCCTATGGCTCAAGTGGTAGAACACTCACCTTGAGCTGAAGAGCTAGGGACAGTGCCCAGACCCAGAGTTCAAGCCCCTCAACTGACAAGAAAAAAAAGCCAGCCTGGGCAGACAAATCCAAGAGATTCATCTTCAATTAACCAGTAAAAAGGCAGAAGCAGAGCTTTCACTCATATGGTAGAATACTAGCTTTAGGGGGAAAAAAACACAAAAACAAAAAAACTAAGCAAGAGCTTGAGACCCTGAGTTTAAGCCATAGTTCCGTCACAGACAGGCTCACATAAACGAGAGACAGGGGGAGAGAGAAGGAGGGGGAGAGAGACAGAGACAGAGAGAGAGAGAGAGAGGGAGGGAGGGGGAGAGAGAGAGAGAGAGAGAGAGGTTTAATGCCAGACTAAGAAATTCACATTTTAATTAGCAAGTAATAAGGACTTTTGCTCTTAAAGAAGGAATAATGCCATGCCTGTAATCCTAGCTACTCCGGATGCTGAAATCTGAGGATCGTGGTTCAAAGCCAGCCCAGGCAGAAAAAATTATTCAGAAAAAAGTGGGAAGTAGTGCTGTGGCTCAAGTGGTAGAGTTCTAGCCTTTGAGCAAAAATAAGGTCAGGGACAGCACCCAGGCCCAGAGCTTAAGCCCCAACACTGTCAAAAAGGAAAAAAGAAAGAAAGAAAAAAAGAAAAAGAAAGAAAGCAAGAGAGAGAGAGAGAGAAAGAAGGAAAAAAGAGAGGGAGAGAGACAGAGAGACAAAGAGACAAAGAGACAGACAGACAGACAGAGAGACAGAGAGAAAGAGAGAAAGAAAGAGGAGCAATGGAAGTCCACATTTCACTTTGTAGTTGTGTTGAAGGATTTCAAAGTTTACAGACTCAAACTAAGACTAATATATGGGCTACAATTGGCCTAAGAGAGATAGGATGAGGGTTTATCTTAGGTCCTGAGGTTATTAAGATATGCATATTATGAACCTAACACCTATTAAGTTTACAAAATAATTAAAGCTTACAAAAGTGTTAACAAAATAAGGTTGAACCAATGAAAAGAAAGTAAAATGAAGAAACAGATTAAGTATATGTCACCCCAATAAGACATGTGGAAGAAAAAAAAAAGATGAGTCAGCTTACCTTTTGATTTCTCCTGAAGTGGTATCATGGTACATGTCTTAGTCTTCTTTATTCTAAAGATTATATATGATCATAAAATCACTTGTATAAAAGTCCAAGCTGTATTAGCTTTAAAAGATACAATGAGAAACAAACAATATACTTTCATGAAAAAGTCACTTGATATGTTTGCTTGTTCAGATACAGGGATCAAACCCAGGGCTCTGCACATGCTGAAGATGTACTGAAGCTCACTCTTGGCCCTGAAAATTATTTTGTTAAATGATATAACTTAGAAATTAAACAAATGGCTGGGCACCCGTAATCACGCCTGTAATCCTAGCTACTCAGGAGGCTGAGATCTGAGGATCAAGGTTCAAAGCCAGCCCGGGCAAGAAAGTCCATGAAACTCTTGTCTCCAATAAACCACCAGAAAAAAGAAGTGGTGCTGTGATTCAAATGGTAGAGCACTTGCCTTGAGCTGATTTGCTGAGGGACAGCGGCTAGGCCCAGAGTTTAAGCCCCACAACCAACAACAACAAAAAAAAGAAATTAAACAAATGGACCATATAACAATGGCTCATGCCTTTAATTTTAGCTATTTACGAGGCTGAGATCTGAGGATCACAGTTTAAAGCCAGCCCTGGCAGAAAAATCTGTCTCATTACCAATTAACCAGCAAAAAGCAGGACGTAGAGTTGTAGCTCAAATGGTAGGTGCCCCAGTACTAGCACACACACATGTATACACAAACAAAATTAAATGACAACTATAACCCCTCTGTATATCACCTTTATAATAACAATAAACATATAAACTTTTTTTTTGCCAGCCCCAGGGCTTGAACTCAGGGCCTGTGCACTGTCCCTGAGCTTCTTTTGCTCAAGGCTAGTGTTCTACCTACTTGTGCCACAGCACCATTTCTAGCTTTTCTTTTTTCTTGTTTATGTGGTACTGAAGAATCAAACCCAGGGTTTCATGCATACTAGGCAAGTACTCTACCACTAGGCCACATTCCTAGCCTGTATTAGTTTTTTTTTTGTTGTTTTTCTCCCCAGTCCTGGGGCTTGAACTCAGGGACTGGGCTGGGTACTGTCCTAAGCTTCTTTTGCTCAAGACTAGCACTCTACCACGTGAACCACAGTGCCACTTCCAGGTCTTTCTGTTTTGTGGTACTGAGGAATCGAACCCAGGATTTCATGCATGTTAGGCAAGCACTCTACCACTAAGCCACATTCCCAGCCCAAAATATAAACATTTTAAAAAACTAAATGAGAAAGGAACTTTACTACAGCTAAGCTAGTCAGAAACAGATAGGGGGATACAGACCAGCCAGTATTTTAGATTATCCTAGCAAACCTAACCAGCGTATGAGCGCTGTGTCTCACTTTACCTACAGATATTTATTAAAAATTATCAGCCACAACCCAAGCAATGCTAAGAGAAGAAAAATCCAGGTATCTGGATGAGCCATTTGTCAACTACCCCTTATTTGTGCTTTGCTTCTTTTTTTTAAGCTAGTACTGGGGCTTACCCTCAAGGCTGTCCCTGAGCTTTATCAGTCAAAGCTTCAGCTCTCCAACTTGACTCACAGCTCCACTTCTGACTTTATGGCGGTTAATTAGAAATAAAAGTCTTAGGGGCATTCCTGACTGAGCTAGCTTCAAATTTCTATCCTCACTTTTTCATCTACCACTGCAAAATGAATTTTGCTGTAATTAACTTATATTCCTATGGGGGAAAAAATATCAGGTTTGAATGTGCTGCCAATGAGAGACTGCATCCTAAGAATTTCAAATTTCTATATTAAGCTTGGGATATTCAGCAGTAACTTTTAAATATTTTTCACTTGTCAGATTACTGTTATCTACTATATTCCCAGAATATGCTATGAGAACCAATAACACTTCTGATCACCATTAAAGAAATTGACAGAAAGTCATACTTTTTCTCAGTTTTTCTTTTTCTTTCCTTTTCTTTTCTTTCTTTCTTTTTTTTTTTTTTTGTCAGTTGTGGGGCTTGAACTCTGGGCCTAGGCGTTGTCCCTCAGCATTTCAGCTCAAGGCTAGTGCTCTACAACTTGAGCCACAGCACCACTTTTGGCTTTTTCTGCTTATGTGTTGCTGAGGAATCAAACCCAGGGCCTCATGCATGCGATCCAAGCACTCTACCACTGAGCCACCTTCCCAGCCCTCTCTGAGTTTTGAAATCAGATATTCACATATGGAGGAAAAAGGAAGATTAGAGGTTGTACCCAAAAGAGAAAAGAGTACTTCCCTGCTTTGCCAATGTTGTTCTTTCACAGAATGCTGGGTGATATACAGGGGAGGATAAGATACTTGTAGGCAACTGGATATGTTCTCACTGGAATGGCTGCAAAGGCAGGGCAAGAACTCACATTTACTGCTGCTAGCACTTCTTACACGTCATGCTACTCAGTCACTGCTATTCCACTTTCTACGTGAAGATAGGATGCTTGTCCTAACATGACTAAAACGTATTCAGATTACCTTTTATTGACAAGTAAATTCTCACTTAAGGTAATGTAATAATTTCCCAAACAGCCAAATAACAAAAGAAAAACCATAAAGAAAAAAGTGATAATATTAAAAATGATAAGTAAAAATGATGTATGGTTTCTTCATTGTGGTATCATTTACACAACCCAAATGCCAAAGAACTTGAAAGTCCAACAATAGAAGTGATCAGACAAATTGTGGGTCCAGCAATGAAAGATAATGTAGCTAGTAAGACTGTTCAAAGATTATATAATGACATGGAAAATGTATTATGTGCAATCTTAAATTTTAAAAGGAGGACCTGGCCAGGTGTCTGTGGTCTATGTCTGTAACCTTAGCTCCTCAGGAGGCTGAGAACTAAAGGATTGAGATTTGAAGCTTTTCTGAGCAGGAGTCTGCAATTTCCATCTCCAATTAGCCAGCAAAATGCCAGGCTGGAGGTATAGCCCTTGTGGTAGAGCATCAGCAGAGCAAGGAAGCTGAGCAAGCTAGAGGCCTTGAGTTCAAAACTAGACTTTTTTTTGCCACCAGTCCTGGCTGGAGTTCAGGGCATAGGCTCTGTCCCTGAGCTTCTTTGTGCTCATGGCTAGCACTCTACCACTGGAGCCACAACACTTCTGGCTTTTTCTTAGTAATTTATTGGCAATAGGACTCTCATAGACCTTCCTGCCTGGGCTGGTTTTGATCTGTGATCCTCAGATCTCAACCTCCTGAGTAGCTAGGCTTACAGTTGTGAGACACCAGTGCCTGGTTCAAAACTAAACTTCCAAAAAAAAGATAGAATATAAACTTGAAAGTACACTACAATCACAATTAAAATAAGTCCATGAAAATGAAGCATAGAAGAAAGCAAAAATAAAAATGGAGATATTGAGATAGGTAGATGATCAAATAGTTTTTTTTTATTTTTCTTCATATTTTCTGAGAAGTTCTTATGTTTATAGTTTAAACATTTTCCATAATGTTTCATTTTTACTATGTTCCAGCTATCTATTTATATTACTATAATTTATTTCAAGACTACTTAACAATAATATTGGAAAGATTTAAATTTTTTCATTCAAAAACTGCAACCTTGTATGATATATATGTGGAAATATATATGGAAAATGTTTAAGTTCATTAAGTATATATATGTATACACATAAATCTTTAGAGGAATATATATGTATGTATGTATGTATGTATGTATCTTCCTCTAAAGAAAATTGTAGCTCAGAATGATGTAAGTACTTCAGAGGTCAAGAGGACAGGGAGCAAATAAGAGACATTCAATAAAAATGGCTAATAAAACTAAACATAGCAGAAAGTAAATAGAATATGAGATTGTCTTCCTAACTTATAGATAGATCTCTTTGAAAGAAGTTTTTCTTTATTGGTACTTCAACCCATCTGATTTAGAATAGGAAAAGGAAACATGTTTAAATGGCAATTTTCAAAGTCAAGAAGACTTGATTGTCTAAAACCATTCTCAGCTGAATGCTGGTAGCGCACCTAAAATCCTAGCTCAGGAGGCTTAGATCTAAGGATCATGAATCTGAAGCAGCAAAGTTCATGAAATTCTAATCTCCAATAATCTGCTAAAAAAAAACCCAAAAAAACAATAAAAGACAGTGGAACTGCAGCTCAAGCCATAGAGCATTAGTTTTGAGCACAAGAAGTTCAGGGACAGCACCCAGACCCTGAGTTCAAGCCCCAGGACCAGCACACAAGTGCAGGCACACACCCATTATTCTTTATATTCAAGTGGGGTTTAAACTAGGCTGACATCTCAGACACAATCTTTTCTCATACCAGGAGTCACTAGAGAATCAAAACACACGGTTCTGTATTTAGAGAGCAGAAATCTGTTAATGATTCAGAAACTTAAAATTTTATCTATAAACCTGCCAAAGCTACTGATGGGCTTGATCTAGCTTAGACAAAATTTGTTTTAAGGAATTCCAGTGTGGAGTGGCATGCCTATAATTCCAGCCCTCAAAAGACCAAGGTAGGAAGATCATATGTTCAAGGCCAGCTTGGGCTACATAATAAAGAAAAAAAATAAAAACAAGTTATTTTATCTTGTTTTATTTATGTTTGTTTGTTTGTGGTTGGTTGTGAGTCTTGAACTCAGTGCCTGGGCACTATCCTTAAGCCTCTTTGTGCTCAAGGCTAGTCTCCACCACTTAAGCCACAGCTACACTTCTGGTTTTTGAGTGGTTAATTGGAGATAAGAGTTTCATGAGGACTTTTCTGCCTGGGCTGGCTTCAAACCAAGATCCTCAGATCTCAGCCTCCTGAGTAGCTAGGATTACAGGCATGAGCCATCGACAACTAGCTAAAAACAAGTTATATTAAAACTTCCTGGCAATGTCACTTGTAAAATCAAGTCCTTGTCATTCTGAATAAAATGGCTAACTTAGATTTTAACATTTAAATCCTTTTAGAAATGTCAGTAAGCAAGAAAGAATTAGATTCTCAACAGAGAAACCTCTACCTTTCACAGTGTTAGTATGAGCCATAACTGAACCAAAGAATCTGAACAGTGATCAGGATAGCGATGATCTACCTGATTGTGGTCATCTCCGTGTCGGCATGCAGCAGGTGTTTATGAACCTCTAGTGGAGTTGAACTTACACTTACACTCTTTTGACAATTTGGCAATCCTGGCAAATGCGGCATTTTGACATATTCTTTGGGCTCTTCTAAACCAATGTATTCTGTTTGAAAAATATTATCATAAGCACCTTGGCTAAATATATACCACTTCTTTTACCACAAACTAAAATGCAGATAAAATATAAAAATCAATCATTAACTAAAACTAAGCAACTGTCATCCCAAGTGTAATGAAATTGTAGAGAAATTTGAATTGTGCTATATCTTGACTATAAAAAGGAGATTGTTGAAGTGGGGAAGGAAAAATGAGATAGAGGGGTAAAGAGGATCAAATGATATATACATATACATATATATGAATACATGTTCATGAACAGAGCATAATGAAACTTAATAAGTGCTGTTTGCAAAAGGGGAGGAGGTAGAAGAGTAACAGAATGGCAGAAGAGGTGAGTTTGTTCAAAGTACATTGTGTGGTATACATGGAAATATTATAATGTACCCTCCTCATACCATAAATGTATGAAAACTCAAAAATAAAATAATGAATAATTACATATCCATTAATAAATCTGAAGTCAAAATTCAGGATGAACAAAAGGTACAATTATAACTTGGAAATGAAAAGGAAAAGCTGTACCACATGTTGGTGGTTCATTCCTGTAATCCTAGCTATGTAAGAGACAGAGCTACAGGATCTCAGGTCAAACACAGCTGGGCAGAAAAGTCTATGAGATTCCTTCTCCAAAATAATCAGCAAAAAGCTGGCTGCAAGTATAGTTCAAGTGATAGATCACCAGCTGAGCAAGCAAGCCAAGTGAACACAAGTTCAAATGACAAAAATAAATAAAATAGGGAAAGTCAAAATATACCTATATCCAAAGTTCTCAAACTAGAACTTATTGAACAAGTTATAAAAATGTTCTCTATGTAAGTTTGGCTAGAATTATTAATATAATTGCAAAAAAATGAGTGTCCTAAAAAATGAAATTCAACTCAAGGCTGGTGTTACACTTGCAATCCTAGCAACTAAGGAGACTGAGATTTGAGGATCACAGTTCAAAGCCAACCCAGGCATAAAATGTCCATGAGCTCTTATCTCCAAATAACCACCAAAAAGCTGGAAGTGGTAGAGTGTTAGCCTTTTTTTTTTTTTGGGTCCGGTCATGGGGCCTGAACTCTGGGCCTGGGTGCTATCCCTCAGCTCTTCAGCTCAAGGCTAGCGCTCTACCACTTGAGCCACAGCGCCACTTCCGGCTTTTTTTCTTTTTTTGCTTATGTGGTGCTGAGGAATCGAACCCAGGGCCTCTGGCATGCAAGACATGCGCTCTACCACTGAGCCACCTTCCCAGCCCCGAGTGTTAGCCTTGAACTGAAAAAAAGCTCAGAGACAGTGCCCAAGTCCTGAGTTGAAGACCCAGGACTGACAAATGTGTGTGTGCACATGCACACAAATCAACTGAAGGTATTTAAAAGTAAACACTGGCCGCCCGCTGGTGGCTTACACCTGTAATCCTAGCTACTCAGGAGGCTGAGATCTGAGGATCAAGGTTCAAAGCCAGCCTGGGCAGGAAAGTCCAAGAGACTCTTATCTCCAATAAACCACTCAGAAAACTGGAAGTGGTGCTGTGGCTGAAGTGATAGAGCACTTTCCTTGAGCTGAAGAGCTCAGGGACAGCACCCAAGCCCAGAGTTCAAGCCCCACAACCAACAACAACAACAAAAAAGTAAACACACTGGACACCGGTGGCTCATGCTTGTAATCCTAGCTACTCGAGTCAGGGATCTGAGGATCACTGTTCAGAGCCAGTCTGAACAGGAAAGTCCATGAGACTCTGATCTTCAATAAACTACTCAGGAAACACCAGAAGTGGTGCTGTGGCTCAAGTGGTAGAGCACAAGCTTTGAATACAAAGAAGCTCAAAGGACAGTGCCTAAACCCTGAGTTCAAGCCCCAGGACCAGCAAAAATAAAATAAAAAGAAATGTGGTCTAACAGAAATAATAATGCATTGATTGTGAGGAAACGTAATTCTTTAAGATTTGTTTCTGTTATATTAGCTTTCATTTCTTTACTTTCTTTTCTACAAATTTAATATACTATCCCAATATAAATGTCATGTAAGCCGGGCACCGGTGGCTCATGCCTATAATCCTAGCTACTCAGGAGGCTGAGATCTGAGGATCATGGTTCAAAGCCAGCCAGGACAGGAAAGTCCATGAGACTCTTATCTCCACTAAACTACTAGAAAACCAGAAATGGTGTTGTGGCTTAAGAGATAGAGCACTAGCCTTGAGCTTAAGAGCTAAGGGACAATGCCCAGGCCCAGAGTTCAAGCCCCATGACCAATAACAACAACAAAAAATGTCATGTAAGTTATAAGAGATCTCTGGACTATTTCTATATTTTCTTTCATGCTCACATTTTTTTTTGTTGTTAGATTACATTAGTTGTGAGGAGAGGAGATTCCATTGTGACATTTCCACGAATATATACAATGTATTCCAATCAATCTACCCCATCACTTTCCTTCTCCCCTTCCTAAGACAATTTCAAAAGGGTTCATTGTTTTATTGTTGTATGTGCAAGCCATCTACTTCAGCCATATTCGTCCTCATTCACCCTCCTTATTGGCCCAGCATTTCAGTTTTCTTAAAGAAAGTTAACAGTTAAAATGATATTACCTTTCCTCATCTTTTGTGTTTCTAAAACTGCTTTCTTCCAATTACTCTCAAAAAGAAAACAATTTTCCAGAGACCTTCTGGTGACTTTAGAAGTCTCAAATTTTATTTCAGGAGTTAACACTGACATTTTCTTTTCTTCTTTCAACAGTGCAGGTGAAAAGGAGATACTGCTCCAAGCAAGCCCAGAACATGGAAAGGAGAGAACAAAGTAATACTTGTAGTTACAGTTTCTCATTTGTTTTAGATCATAAAGATTACATTTTAACAGGGATTTACTTATAACATGTACATACATACTCTGGGCCAGAATAATCTCCCTTAGCTTTTTCACTCTAGGCTCGTACTACTTGAGCCACACCTCCACTTCTTGCTTTTTGCTGGTTAATTGGAGATAACCTTCATCCTCTGATCTTGGCCTCTTGAATAGCTAGGATTTCAGGCATGAGGCACCAGCGCTCAACATATTCTGGGGGTATTAAAGCAAGAAGTTTTTAAAGAATAAAGCAGAATTGCAGCAGTGGTACTCACTAGACACTATGTTGAAAATAATCTATACAACTTGTGGGTGGGGACCAGAGAGAAAAACTGGGAGAGAACAAGGGAAGGGAGAACATTGCCCCAAAAGAAATGTACTCATTTCCTGACTTACATAAATATAACTGCTCTGTACAGCATCTTTATAACAATAAAAAAATAAAAATTAAGCTGGGCATCAGTGGCTCATGCCTGTAATCCTCACTATTCAGGAGGCTGAGATCTAAGGATTGTGGTTCAAAGCAAGTCTGGGCAGGAAAGTCTGTGAGACTCTTATATCCAATAAACTATTAGAAAACTGGGAGTGGCACTGTGGCTTAAGTAGTAGAGCACTAGCCTTGAGCTGAGTTCAAAAAATATTAAGGAAGAAGGCAAAAAATATAGTCATTATTTTAATTGTATATATATATACAATTTATATATACATTATATATACATATATATACATATATACATTTATATATACATATATATACTATATATATATAAATATATACATTTATATATATATATATATTGCCCGTCCTGGGGCTTGAACTCAGGGCCTTAGTACTGTCCCTGAGCTTCTTTTGCTCAAGGCTAATACTCTATCATCTCTGCCACAGTGCCACTTCTGGACTTTTCTGTTTATGTGGTACTGAGGAATTGAACCCAGGGCTTCATGCATGCTAAGCAAGCACTCTACCACTAAGCCACATTCCCAGCCCATGTATCTTAGTATTTTAATGAATTATTTTAAATTCCAAGTTACAGAAATTTGGTGTGTGTGTGTGTGTGTGTGTAAAACCCCATTATGGCCAAAAAATAATAATAATTCAACTAAAAAGTGTGATGCCAGCCAGGCAGAGGCTGAAACTTGGGAATGTAGTCCACTGCATCTAGAACACGCATGTGATACTGTGCACAACAGGGAGGGAGGAAGAGAGAAGTAAGAATGTGGGCAAGAAAGCAAGAAGTGAGAGGAAGACAACTGAAGACAAAGGGAAGAAAAGAAAGGAAAGGGAACCAAGCTATTCTCACGAGATGGAGGAGTAGAGAGAGATGAGCTGTCTACAAGAAAGCCTATTCCTACTAGCAAGCTGGGTCAAACCCTGGTGATATTATTACTGTTACCAGAGAAAACAAGCTTAAAATAAAAGGGATTTGGCATGGCAAGGGTGGCCCATGCTTGTAATCCTAGCTACTCAGGAGGCTGAGATCTGAGGATCACTGTTCAAAGCCAGCCTGGGTAGGAAAGTCCGTGAGACTCTTATCTCCAAACCAGAAGTGGTGCTGTGACTCAAGTGGTAGAGCACTAGCCTTGAGCTGAAAAGCTAAGATAGTGCCTAGGCTCAGAGTTCAAGTCCCATGACAAGAAAGAAAGAGAGAGAGAGAAAGAAAGAAAGAAAGAAAGAAAGAAAGAAAGAAAGAAAGAAAGAAAGAAAGAAAGAAAGAAGAGGGAGGGAGGGAAGGAAGGAAGGAAGGATGGAAGGAAGGAAGGAAGGAAGGGGATTTGGTGATGAAATCTTGGATCTGCCTAAAAAGGCAGTGTTGGCAGTAAAAGGTAAGGGTGGACGCCAAAGAGTAATGGGGGACAAGATAGTGGTGAGGCTGTAAACCAAGGTGGGAAACCCAAAAAGGGCAGCAAAGGCAAAGAGACAATACTAACCAGACATGGTGCCGGGGGCCCATGTGTGTGCTGAGCTTCTCCAACCTGACCTGCCAAGTAATCTGGCCCTGGCCCTGGCTAAGTCTCAGAGGTTTATTCTCTACCCCTGCCCCTACCTTCTCTGTTCTTGGTGCTGAGAGTAGCTCATGCTTTGATGTTCTTGAAGACAAGCTCTTAAGCTCTTTTTTTTTTTTTGGGGGGGGGGGGCCGGTTGTGGGGCCTGAACTCTGGGCCTGGGCGCTGTCCCTCAGCTCTTCAGCTCAAGGCTAGCGCTCTGCCACTTGAGCCACAGCACCACTTGCGGCTTTTTTTTTCTTTTTGCTTATGTGGTGCTGAGGAATCGAACCCAGGGCCTCGAGCATGCAAGGCAAGTGCTCTACCACTGAGCCACCTTCCCAGCCCCCTCTTAAGCTCTTTTGATTTCACAGGATTTGTTGTTAAAGATTTGAAAACAAGACAACCACAGGGCAGCAATAATGAAAATGACAACAAAACAAACCTGAGATATGGGGTAAATTATAATTACTAAATTCTTAAAGGCCTCATAGGATCACAATCCAGATTCTGTCTTAGGAACTTCTTTATTCATAGAGGTGGAAACAGCCAGACAACATTCTTTCAACTCCAAGAATCCTCTCCCTTGTAGAAGCTCCTCTTCCAGGACAGAAGCGATTAGAGGCTAACAGTAAGTTCTACTCCCCTCCAGGGGACACTTGCATTTTTGACCATCCCAAGACTGGATTTGGCATTTTTTTGTTTTGTTTTGTTTTTTAAAGAAAGTTACACCACTTTGCATAGATCCATTATTCTGATATTCCTACTGTGTGTGTGTATGTGTGTGTGTGTGTGAGTGAGAGAGAGAGAGAGAGAGAGAGAGAGCTGGCCCTGGGGCTTAAACTCAGGGCCTGGGCACATTCCTTGAGTTTTTTTGGCTAAAGGCTAGCACTCTACCACTTGAGCCACAGCTCCACTTCTGGCTTTTTGATGGTTAATTGGAGATAAGAGTCTCAAGAAATTTTTTCAATCCTCAGATCTCAGCCTTCTCAGTAGCTAGGATTTCAGGGATGAGCTACCAGTATCCAGCTATTTCTACATTTTTTGTTGTTTGAAATTTTACATAATAAAAAGTTGTTTTCTCAAGTCCACATTTAATAGTATATATGATTTCAGGAAAGTACTGAAATATTGAAGAATTAAGTGGTTTTGGCCTGATGTTTCCTGTAAACATGAACAGTACCATTACTAATGGAAACAGAAAATTTAAGGATCCTTTATAGGACTAATAAAAAGACCACTAAAAACTCTTCACTCATCTAAGAAGAGATAATAAAAAGAACAAAGTACATATACATGTGTCTGCTCTGGGTTGGGCAATAAAGAACTCATTTAAAACTAAAGTTCTCAGGTTATAGGAATGAGAATCAAAGTTATGGTAAATTAAGTGCTTAAAACTAATAGTTATAAAATAATGACTAAATTTTCAAGACAACCCCAAAATATGAATGTATTTAAAAAAATTCTTTTGGTTTAAAAATATTCCAGGTATTTTAAAATTAAGATTGCTATTTTATTGCCTAGTTTAGAACTAGAAGAAAAGGTTAAATGTTTGTTTACTTACTCACTATTCATGCATCTATTCATCCATTCAAACAAACACTGTACTGAATGCCAGTTATATCAGGCACTGAGGGTGTAACAAGGAACTAAATAATGTATGTTCTCTGCTCCTTAGTAGGAGATTCAGATAATAAGTAAGCAAGCAAACAAAGTTTATTTCAGATAAAGTGCAGTGAAAATACTAGAATGTCAGTAATGGTCAGGACATGTATGTATAAAGCTGCTTTTTTCTTTCCAGTCCTGGGACTTAAACTTAGGGCTGGGCACTGTCCCTGTACTTCTTTTTTGCTCAAGGCTAGCATTCTACCATTTGAGCCACAGTGCCACTTCCAGCTTTTTCTGTTTGGTAGTGCTGGGGAATCAAACCCAGAGCTTCATGAATGCTAGGCAAGCACTCTACCACTAAGCCATATTCCCAGATGATTTTTTTAACTAGCTTATTTTATGAAGCTTTCTAAGAAAGAATAAATATCAGGTAAAAACAATTTTGAGAACATGTATGTCTTTAAATTGTTTACATTTTGCCACACAATTACCACATGCTGATATTCAGTTTCATCTATTTTCCTGCAAATGACAATTTCATCCATATGAGCTGAATAATAGTCCATTGAGCATTTGTAACACATTTCTATACCCACTCATGAATGGATGGACACCTACATTGATTCCATAACTTGGTTATATGAATCATGCCATAATGAATATGAATATGGATATATTATAGGTATCTTTTGAACGCTGAGCTTGATTCCTTCAGAAACCTACTCCAAAGTTTGCAGAATTATATGGTAATTACACTTTTGGCTTTCTTTCTTTCTTTTTTTTGGTCAGTTGTAGGACCTGAACTCTGGGCCTGGGTACTGTCCCTAAGCTCTTCAGCTCAAAGCTAGTGCTCTACTACTTGAGCCACAGTGCCACTTCCAGCTTTTTCTGCTTATGTGGTGCTGAGGAATCGAACCCAGGGCTTCATGCATGCTAGGCAAGCATTCTAGCACTGAGCCACCTTCCCTGCCCTTTTTCTTTTTCTTTTGTTGAAGAACCTCCAGACTTTTCTATAATGGCTGGACTGGTTTGCATTTCTACTCATGGTAATGATTCCTTATCCTCTCCCACATCTGCACCAATTCTTCGTTGTGTGTCCTAGCCATTCTGATTGTGATGAGGTAGATTCTCCGTGTAGTTTTGATTTACATTTCCCTAATGGCTAAGGAGATTGCACATTTTCTTAGTTATTTATACTTCTTTTAAAACTGTCTTTTCAGCTCATTTGCCCATTTTTTGACTGGATTGTTATTTTGGTATTTACTGTTTTGAGGTTTTAAATT